ATTTTATAACTTTAATAGATAACAAATGATAAACACCGGATAGTGAATGGCATATTATATCACTAGATGCCAGTAACTAACTGTGATGAGTCAAGATGATTTAATCTCTAGTTGAATGCGGGTTTTTCCTCCGAGTGGAGACAACATACTTTATACTTACAGGATTAACTATTTCTATTTGGGTGTCTTTATCTGCTATATTTAAATTTAAACAATTTGTTTTGTAATTTTTGAATTGACTTATTTTAGTTTTTGTTACATTAACGTTTAAATTAATTTGTTTAAGCCATTCAACTGTTAATTTTAAAGTTTTATTTATATTATTTACAAAATTCATTTGATTATCAGGTATAAAGATAGATGCATCATCAGCGAACATAACACGTCTATTGTCAGTGATATTTGGCAAATCATTCACATAAATTAAGAATGACAAAGGGCCCAAAATACTTCCTTGAGCAAGCCTAGTGTCATTTTAACTGGTTTGGACCGTACTTATTCAAAAGTTTTACTGACTTTGTCAAATTTTTCAATTGCTGTTAATTGCACTCTATCTTTTAACTATCTTTTTAATAGTCCTAATGTCAAGCCACGTACACCTAATTTGTCAAGTTTATTTAATATTATATCATATATGACACAATCAAATGCCCTTGACATATCTAAAAAAAAAGCTACACAAGAAGTTTTCTTATTTAATGACTCCCAAATTTCCTTGAGTATTTCATAGATCGCAAGTGATTTATTTTTCTGAAAGCCAAATTGATTTTTACTTATTATACTATCTTTATTGAAAAACTCTATAAGTCTATTGTAGATTAACCTTTGAAATATTTTCGAGAAGTTAGATAAAAGAGCTATGGGCCTATGGGTATATGGCTAGTCTTTGACATTACATTTTGAATCTTTTTTGAACAAAGGTTTTATTTTTTTTTTGCTGTTTTAGAAAGATACCAGTTTCTATCATTAAGTTCAATAAATAAACAAGAGGCGCATTTATATACTCTATAGATTTTTTAATAATTTTGATCGATATGTCGTCGTGGACGCAACTTTTTTATTTTTAAGGTTCTTGATTTTTCTAATTCATTTGCATCAACGGGTGATAAATATAAGCTATTTATATGTGTAGGAGGTAGATAGTAAGTATCTGTAGCTTGTTGCTTGTGTTGTAGCTTGTGATATTATTATTACTATAGTCACATTTTTAATAGTTGTTTTGAATATGTTTTGTGAAGTGGTCTGCCTTTTTATTAAGTGCCATGTAGCTTTATTATTGTTGTTACTATTTTTAATGAATTTTATATTTGATTTTTGTTTTGCTAGGCGTATAATGGATTTTAAAATTTTACAGTATTTTAATAATATATTTTATTTCTGGCAACAGTATACCACAACATTCAAGGTGTTTATCTAAGCTTAATTGCTTAATTGATTGCATTGCATAATTGATTTATACAAAACTGACCATGGTTTCGTTGTCAGTAAGACATAGGTCTTTTATCTCACTGACAAAATGGTATGAATTCTTAGTGTGAGCTCTTGTGTGTCCTCTGAGTGATGATAATATTTTAGCTAAGTATTGAGCCAATCTGTAAGTTGGCGAAGCAATCTGACTCACTATTGGACGTAATGGAGCGTTCGGTTTGTGTATTTTTGGTAACCCATAAAACTTCGTTGGTTTGGCACATGAAGGTATTATCAAATTAACGTCCAGATTAAATTTATCGGAGTATTTCTTAATTAGATAAAATAAGATGTCAGATACTGTCGAACATTTACACCATTTGTGATATTGCATCCCCTGTTGTTTTTTGTGTGACGATATTCGTCCAAAGGACATTCGTACAATGTATCCTTAAATGTTATGCCATCTTTTGAGCGAACGTAGTTGTGTAGAATACATGCTGCCTTTATAATCTTTACAGCAAACTTTATATGGACATTTATAGGGCGATGAAAAATACGCCACTTATTTGCTAAAATGCCAAACGTGCATTCTACTAAGTAAGTTTTAAAATATGTGTTAAATTCATAAATTCCTTTCAGTGATTATGATATTATATTAGAGGCAAATAATTACTTAGCATTCCTAGATGTGTTAGTCATCTAAAATTCTATCAACACCATAAGTCACACTGCATATAGAAAAAAGTCCCATACAAACCAATATTTAAACGGAGAATCTTACCATCATCCTTCACAGTTAGCTAACGTGGACAAGTTTTTGTTACAGAGAGCACGAGGGATCTGTCAGAGCAAACACCTGGCTGCCGAGCTTCAGCATATCAATCAAGTTCTGCACGACAACAAACTTCGGGTCCCGCACCTATGTCACAGTGACCGAGTGAAGTCGGCCACAGTCGAGCGCGTGCCTGCTGTACTTACCATATGTCAGGGGTGTTACAGACAAGATTGGCTACATCTTGAAGCGAGCTTCTATTAGAACATTCTACAAGCCGCCGAAGAAGATTAGTCAGTTCCTACCATCAGTCAAGTGTCATATTCCTCTACAAGATGCAGGAGTATACAAGCTTGATTGTGAATGTGGTTTCTCTTATATAGGACAAACAAAAAGATCAATTAGAACCCGCGTAAAAGAACATATAGCTGATGTGAAGCATCAACGTTCCGGGAAGTCTGCAGTTTGCGATCATATCCTAGACGGCCCCAACCATTACATCAGATTTGATAGACCACAAATCCTCGCGAAAGAACACCGATTCCTACCAAGGATGATACGTGAGGCTATTGAAATTAAAAAACATCCTAATTTCAATAGAGAAGGAGGCTGGGTACTACCACCTGCTTGGGATCCTATAATTAATAAAATTAAAACTAAACCCAAGCATACTACTGCAAGACCTCAGGACATAGTCCGTTCATTTTGCATAGATCGGACCATAAACAATAATTAAAAAAAATCTGAAGGTACTCCGGGTTTAACAATGACATCGGGACGTCAGTCATCTCAGTCCCCCGTGACCATGGGTGCTGGAAAGCGCCCGAAACGTCGGGAATTAATAATAATAATAAAATAAACGCGATAAAATCCGTAAAAGTAGTTTTAATCAATTTCTTAAAGTTGTCAACAAAATGCCGTCATCAAGCAATTAGCGCCGTCGGGTTTGCTCAGATGAATTAGGTTAATTTCATCCGTGTCGCTGTGACAAAAATAACTGGCAGGCACTTGAAGTGCCCGATTAATCATTAGAAAGGCCGCACACTTACAATTATAAGTTGGCCAACTAAATCGGAGAGCATATCAATAGGTATAGTGACATATGCTAGCCCACACATCTTGTCCAACTAAATCGTCCAACTAATTATTTGGACACCGATCGTATCAGAATCAAGATTCCCTTCCGATTACGCACAATTAAAAAGTTGTCCAACTATCGGCCAATTGCTCGTTAGCACGGTACGCCATGCAAGCTCGCAGACTATCCAACTTTGTTGGTTAGTCGCACGGCAAGATGCAAGACGAACCGACACGCGCGCGTGATTTACCTACGCTCGGACTTGAACATTCGCCGACGGGTGCGACATCTCACACACGATCACTTGTTGCGAACGAAAAAGTAGAATAACTAATAGATGAAGTGCAAAAAAGGCCAGCGTTATACAAAAAAAGACTTGAAGCAATACTCCGATGTAAATATTAAGAAAAAATTATGGGAGGAATTCTGCGAAGTTTTAATAAGTAATTGGGCAGAACTCAGTGTGAATGAAAGAAAAGAACAAGGTTGGTCTAAGTTTTTTTTTATTGTGTTTGTAATCTTTGTATATAATTCTATACTTTATCACATTGAAAGGGAACAGGTCCATGAGGTTGAAGAAAATAAGATATCAGATACTGTCGAACGTTTACACCATTTGTGATATTGCATCCCCTGTTATTTTTTGTGTGACGATATTCGTCCAAAGGACATTCGTACAATGTATCCTTAAATGTTATGCCATCTTTTGAGCGTACGTAGTTGTATAGAATACATGCTGCCTTTATAATCATTACAGCAAACTTTATATAGACATTTATGGGGCGATGAAAAATACGCCACTTATTTGCTAAAATGCCAAACGTGCATTCTACTAATCGACGAGCTCGAGTATGTCTGTAGTTAAATATACGTTTTGCGTAGTTCAAATTTTTCTTTGAGTCAGGGCGTAATATATGACTTGAAAGGCCAAATGTGTTCATCACCGATAACGTAAAATGGCATTACATGTCCGTTATCTTCATAAGGAAAGTGTTGTCCAGTGGGAATATTAAGTCTGTTTTCAATTAATAGTTTGCCAATTTGTGATGACTTTTGCTAGGATAAAGCCATCAAAAAAAGAAAAAACTTCTTGTAATTAAAAAAGGAGACGACTTTTGCGTGTATTTCCCACTATCACTCCTATAACATTTGAAAAATTTGTTCGTTCATAGAATTCTTGAGCAGTTCTAATCCAATCTTCTTTAGTTTTTTCAGGCATATATTGTGAATGAAGGACATTCCATATTTGCTCACAAGTAGATTTTACTATGCCCCTTATTGTAGATTCACCAATCAAATAATCTAACGAAAGTTGAGAAAAATATGCCCCCGTTGCCAAATACCTGCAAAAAAATTATTCATCATTAAATATAGTTTGTCGCATTGTACATAATGATTTTAGGATTTTTTTGTGGAATTCACTTTGTATGGAAGGTACAATTTTTTTCATTTGTCAACCTTTAAAGGAGAAAATTGTTTAATTATTGTTCTTCAAAATTTGTCGTGTGGTCTAAAGAGGGCGACATTCTTTTACACTATGTAAAGATATAAAATTAATTTGAATAACAAATTTTAATAAGTATTGTTTGTTTTAGGTCATGAAATCCAAAGAAAATGAATTAGCTTGCGGACTTGCTTCGCTAGAGAACTGAAAGCTCAAAAGTCGGTAAAATCTGACAAGCAGCTTCAAAACGGCGGCCATATGTTTACTTTGATCGAATGTTGTTTTTAATACCTTGTATGGAATCACGACCAACTGAAGGTAGTATTGAAAACAGTGAATCAAACCAGGACGACGCTAATTTATCAGACGATCCACAATCATACCCGCAACGGAAACGGAAAATTAAAAAACCCAACTTAGATGAACAAATAATAAAGGCACTTCAGTCTAATGAAGACGATACCAATTATTGCTTATCTTTAGTTCCTTTTATGAAAGAGCTGACTTCTGACGAAAAATTAGAAGTGCGTATAAGAATTTTACAAACATTCCAAGACATCAATAAAAAAAGATTATTACTGACAAATACATCATTTAATATCATTCAACCTAGTACTTCACAATTTCCAAGAGCTTCCAGGCACATTACTCCATCAACTTCCATACGTATTATTTCTGATAAAGTTATCAAGCCAAACCGTAGTCGTTCAGTCCATTCCACACGTCAAGCAAATTTATCACAGCATCTGACAGAATCTCATCAGCACTCTAACACAAAGCCACAGGATACAATACCATCTTATATGCAACTTTCAAGTCCATCTCCAGAAAGTCAAACACCGCCCCCTCCACATGATCATGATGGTATTATTTCATACTGGTCAAACTTCTCCGAGTCTGAATCAGAATTAATTGATTTATAAAAAAATATAACAGATTTTTTTACTAACCTGTCCTAAAAAACGTCAATAAACAAAATAAAAAATGAGTTGTATTTTTATTAACCTAGCAGGTACTTACCGGAGAGTTAATCCAAGCCTCTCTTCAACGGAGATAGCAAGTCGGAAAGTTGTGTCCTGTTTGACTATCTCTGGCCCGATTAGATACACGAGCTCGTCAAAAGACGAAATACTCATTCTATAGAATGAAAAAAAATTATCTGAGTAACATATGAGTTTAGAGTTCAAAGTATGATGTTTCCCATATTTTAATCTGTTACTTAATATGGGATGCCCCCAAAATGTCCTCTTTTCTTTTCGTCTTCTTTTTATTATTAAAGCAATTAGAGCGGTTTTTTTCCGCATTATCACGCACACGCACCGCGATAGCAACACTGTCACGGACTAAATCGATTAATTCTGCGGCTAGCAACCAATCAAATAAAGTTGTTCGATTTAATTATGAAAGTGTGCAATTTAGTCGTTCGATAGTTAGCCAAATTACAATTGTATGTCTACGGGAGCTCTTAGTGTTTTTGAATTGTTTTCATTTACATCTACATTATTCTGAGACACTGTGAAAACGACAGTATGTTCATGACACGGTACATACCGGAAAATTAAAAAAAATTGGGTTTGGATACTACTACCATGACCTACTCACTACACACTACACTCCATTGAAAATCAGCGTTACGAATTGATGTACATATATCTTTAATTCGTGACTTAAAGCTGAGTGGAGACCATTTTGGTGCATATTATTTCTCTTCTTCGTTACTTCTATAAAAAATCTCTTTTACTTGATTTATTTTTCTTTGTTGTAATATATGTGCCAAATAAACTTATTTATTTTTTCTTTATATGTTAATAACTTATTCTTATTATATATTTATTTAATTATTTTATTAAATAAAATAATTTAAAATAATAAGCAAATATATGTTGCAGAAATGAACGGAAGAGTCGGAATGAGACGTTCTAGGCGAAAGTTTGTCGACCAAATTGGCGATATACTAAAAATGGACCAAATTAAGAGTACCCTTAACCGACGAGCACATATGCGCAGGTATATGGATTTGGAAGAAGCGAGAGAGGTAAGGGTACTCCTAATTTGGCCCGTTTTTAATAAATCGCCAATTTAGTCGATAAATTTTCGCCTAGGACGTCCCTTTCCGACTCTGCCATTCACTTCTGCACCATAAATTTTCTTTGTCACTCTTTCCTCATTCATTCTTTCTACATGACCAAACCACCGAAGCATTCCTTTCTTAATCCTGGTCACAATATCATCTTGCAAACCACACTCTTCTCTTATTACACAATTTCTTACCCTGTCATTCAGATTCAGCCCTAACATACTCCTTAACGACCGCATTTCTACTGCGTTTATTCTACTCTCGTGCTTCTTCTGCCACACCCAACGTTCACTACCATACGTTAAAGTAGGGACCAACACAGCATTGTGAATTGCCATACGTGCCTTTTTCGACACATTTTGACTCTTCACAATAGAGTGCAGGGCCCCATTTACTCTATTTCCCGCATTCATTCGTCGTTATATATCCTTATCATATCTTCCATCCCTGCTAAATACGCAGTCCAAATATACAAACTCATCCACTTGCTCGATCAACTCCCCTTCTATTCTTATTTCACAAATCGTTTTACTTTCTTCTCTTTCAAAAACCATAACCTTCGTCTTACTTGCGTTCACTTTCATACCCCTTATAAATAATTTCAGATAATATATAATTTTGAAACAGAAACAGAAACTTTTTTATTCAACATGGATTATAAATAATACTTATGGAAAATCACTTTTTTTCATTACCAATGGTTCGCAAAAAAAAACCTCTGTCCTGGGAAGAACCAGCAAAAATCCAGCGGGACTATTTTTTTAATAAGAACTTACAATCATGTATGTTACAATTAATAACACATAAAAAATTAGAAATAGCTTGGCAGCTATCAATTTAAAAAAAAAACAAATCAGATTATGTGGTTGAGCATTGTTTGCTTACAAGATTCGTTTTATTGTTCCACTGTACGACGTCACTCGAATAAATATTGAAAGATTCTTTCAACAAAAATAAATCGTTTTTTTATTATTATTTTTTTGATTGATTTAATATTTTATAACTTTAATAGATAACAAATGATAAACACCGAATAGTGAATGGCATATTATATCACTAGATGCCAGTAACTAAATGTGATGAGTCAAGATGATTTAATCTCTAGTTGAATACGGGTTTTTCCTCCGAGTAGAGACAACATACTTTATACTTACAGGAAACGATGGAAGGCTGATGTATATTTATATAACAATGGTAACAAACAAACCTCAGTTTAACTGATGGTAAGTGGAAGTTATGGCCCATAGACATCTATAGCTATCCCCAATTAAGAATCAAAATGCAGATGTGTTGTTATTCCTAAGCAACGAACAACAATAGAAAAATAGCAAGGAATTCTACAGTTAGTTGTAGCGGGTGTGTTTTATTTCATTTTAGTGACTGTCTTCTCGTATAATATGTGTAATAGAAAAATTTTAAGTTTAAAGCGATATCAGAACAAATCAACTTGTGTATGCTATTGCATCTATATTGAATAAAAAATTCTGTTTCTGTTTCAAAAACAAATAACTTTTCCTCTGAATGGCCTGTAACATTTCTTAAAGTTGTCAACAAAATGCCGTCATCAAGCAATTAACGCCGTCGGGTTTGCTCAGATGAATTAGGTTAATTTCATCCGTGTCGCTGTGACAAAAACAACTGGCAGGCACTTGAAGTGCCCGATTAATCATTAGTGTTTTTGAATTGTTTTCATTTACATCTACATTATTCTGAGACACTGTGAAAACGACAGTATGTTTATGACACGGTACATACCGCAAAATAAAAAAATCCTGGGTTTGGATCTACCACTCGGCCACTATCGTGAACTACTCATAGCACGAACGTTTAAAGCTTATCTAAACTGGTTAAACGTTTGATAGTAAATTTTAATTGAAATGCTTGTAAAATAATAATATAAATAATAACGGTATTTCAAATCTTTTTTGCAAACCATGTAATCCATAACTTGTTCAAGATAAAATATGAAAATTCTTAAAATTATTGTTAGTAAAAGTTGGTAAAACTTTAGTCAACTTTAGTAAGCAGTATTACTTTTTCTACACTTAACAGATATTGTCGTGCGAGTCACACCTCCCACCGACAAAATATATAAATAAAAAAAAATTTTGTATTTTAAAAGTCAATCCTAAATAAAACCTCCAATGCAACGCCTCAGTCACATTAGAATTAGTATTATGTATACATACTGACGTATTTGGCATAATTAGGTAATAAGATAATTTTAGAAATTCGCGAATATCTGTTATAATTTTACTGGCATTACAAATTTATATCATGCTGTCTCGTAATCATTTATGTACGTCACTATCAGTCAGGGAATGAGGCTAGAAATTAATTGTATTGATTTATTAATGCTTTATTTGCACACCGAGTACAAAAAGGCGCACTTAATGCAACAAGGCATTCTCTGCCAGTCTACTTTCAGGCTAAGCACAGAAGATATTCTTACATTAAATATTGCATTACACGTTATAAACATAATTATACACATATATAATTATATAGATATACATACAAGATATATAAATATATACATTTAAATGCTTAATGCTGCCTAATATGCTGCTGCAAACACTTATAAAATATTTAAAATAAAAAAAGGAAAAGGAAACAGTTAGAATTTAAGGATATAAAAAATATGTTAATCGACAAACTACTCCTGCAACACCAGAAAATGATTCCATAGCAAACGTTTGAACGATGCCTTACTCGTGGCTGCACGTACACTGCTCGGTAGCTCGTTCCACAATCTTACCGCGTGAGACGTAAAAGATTTATACAAGAAGCTAGTGTGATAGAGGGGGACATGGAGATTAGACTTTTCCGCAGAACGGAGACAACGATTATGAGAATCAGGGATAAAGATATTCAGGGACAAACGAATCGTGTAAAACTGGAAATAATGTGCACAGTATTCTGAAATATCTGCGATAGCGGAGAGTTAGCCATTTAAGCTGAGAACGATAAGAGATGTGGTCGTATTTACGTAAACAGAAAATGAAGCGTATATAAGAAGTAGATCCAGTGTGTTTAGAAGTTTTTGAGAGGCATCAGCATAACAAACATCTGCATAATCTAATAGTCAAGACTAGAGTCTGTATTAGCATCGTCTTATCCATCTTATCGGTAAAAAATCCTTGAAACGATACAGATAACGCAGAGTGTGAGTGACCTTTTTGCTCACTTCATATATATGCGGTCGCCAACTGAGGGTGTTGTCAATAACTAAGCCAAGATCTTTAACAGTTGTTGAGTAAGAAATGTAACATTATTAAAAATTTTAGGAGTTAGCGCCTTCGTATCAATTTTAGGCAATCTACGACAACTACCAACCAAAATAGCCTGAAACTTTGATGGATTAACCCTAATACCAAATCTGTCTGACCAATAATAAATACAGTTAAGGTCGCAGTTAAGCTTCTTAATAACATCATTGATAACTGCCACTTCAGTTTGAGCATAAATTTGTAAGTCATCAGCATACAGATGGTACGAACAGCGAATGTGGGATGTAATGAGATTTAAAAAGACTGAGAACAGGAGAAGAAAGAGAATTCCACCTTGAGGAACGCCAGCAGACAACGAGTACCAATCAGAGACGATCTGACCTGACTCGAATAGCCTGCTGATGACCCCGAAGATTCGAGGAGAACCAATCCCGCGCCGACGAAGAGAAACCCAGGTGACAAAGTACAGCTAGGAAAATATCATGATCGACAGCATTAAAAGCGTTAGACAAATATATTAGTACTAACAAAGTCAATTTTGAGTTCTCCACTCCAGTACGAAAATCTTCAGTAACTAAAAGAGCTGTGGTTGTACTTTGCCCAGGCCTAAAACCGG